AAACAACTAAGCAAATACTCCTTAGACAAATTCAAGCGAGTAATAATAGCATCAAACTCCTCATAATATTCGATGACTGACTTTTTCTGCCTCAATTGCATTAATTCCGCCATTGGATCATCACAAACATCACCAAACCTTTCAAGAACCAGTTTCTTGTACTTAAGCCAAGGCAAATTAGAACAATTAGTAGTTTTATCAATAGTCATGTGCCACTGTAAAGCCCGACCCTCCATATGAACAACAACAAGTTTAACGCGAAAGTCATGAGGTGTATTATCAATAAGAAAAAAATTGTCACATTGATAGAGCCATTGGTTCACATTCTCACCATTAAACCTGGGAAAATCAATCCTAGCAAGCCTATTTCCACAAGAATAAGAAGACCCACGATTGTGTCCCTGAATACATGATGATCCTGATATATTTCCCATATTACCCATCATTTCTTGCAACGTTTCTTTCATAGAATCGGTCAAAGTTCGTTGTATCGAACCCGCAAGTTCCACCAAATGATCCCCCAACTTCCCTGACAACCGTTCTTCCAACTCCCTCATGGTTTTTGCATGACGAGTTGAGTCTGCCATGGAAGATTAGTCCAAATGAATCGTCCTGGATGATACCAATTGTTATAATATTTCTTAGTTCTAGGAATTCAAATATAATTCGAAGAACAGAGATGAAACAGGGAACATTATAAGAGAAAAGGTTTCGAAGAGTTTATTGTGTATTTGAGAGTTTACAAGAAAGGAGATCTAGATACAACAAAAAATGTCTCTCTAATTGTTTAGTAGCTCTTTATATCTAACTCCCAAAATTGAATCTAACAATTTCCTTAAAAATGGGACACACATAACCAACTCATATCCGACAGCTAGCAATATTATTCCTCAGCCTTATTTCATATCAGATATCTATGTATTGGTTGTAGTTTTTCAATGCCAATTGATCTCAATTATCTTCTAATTTTTAAGGATTTTTCTTTTCAAAACTTCATTTTGATTATCCTATTCCATCATACTCTCTATTTCTAAAAATACTCTCTCCATATATACATTGTCCACTTTCTAATTTGGGTACTTTTGTACTTCTAATATGAGGAGTCACACTTTCTCTATCAATAATAGGAAAACCATTTTTAGGTAAGCCTGTATGAAGTTTTAATATTAAAGCTTGGTTGTTTCAATATTGATGTATAGTGAATATATTATTAAAAGTTTTTTCCTTTTTACTTTCATTTTCTTTTTAGAGGACATGACTCAGAGGTTTACATTACTAAAGGACATTGCAGCAGAGAAAATTGATTGGAAGATAAGAGTTCATATAATAAGATTGTGGAGGCTGCCAGAGTTTAAGAATCCATTGCAAACAAATTCCTTGGAGATGATTTTGGTGGATGAAGAGGTTTTTTTTTCATATTTTGGTTATCCTACTTGCGAGTGCCAAGAATGTGGAGCAATGATGTGGTATTCTAAGAGAGTGCAAAAGGTTACAATCTAGCAAACCCTAGATTCTCTTTGTGTTACATGTTCTACTGAAGGGCAATTAGGTACACCTAATGATGTTTATATCCCTGAATTCCTTGATATTATCATTGCTTCCAGACTTCCAAATCATGAGGTGAATTTGAAAGTTGGTGTTCTGATAATGTTGTTGAGAAATATAGACCAATCTTCCGAGTTGTGTAATAGAACTAGACTTATCATAACTCAGTTGGGTAAATATGTTTTGGAGGAAAAAGTGATATCAGGAAGCAATATTGGACAAAAGGTTTTTATTCCTCGATTGTCCTTAATTCTATCATATAAGAGAATTCCTTTCAAATTCTAATAAATATCTTCTTTGTCATGACAATAAATAAAAGTCAAGGACAATTATTGAAGCATGTTGCCATCTATCTTCCACAACCTGTTTACTCACATGGCCAATTATATGTCGCAATATCTCGAGTCACATCTCGCAATGGTCTGAAAATTCTTATTTGTGCTGATGAGGTAAATGGTTCAACATCTATTACTAATGTAGTTTATAAAGAAGTCTTTCAAACTCTGACATAGGTAACTTGCATTTTTTTTAGAATAACATTATAAAAGGAAAACATGTCTACTTTAGTTCTAATTTTACCTATTTTTCAGGCATTTCACCAAGTTTATTTTCCATGATGATGTGTTCATGAGTCATTACATAATTACTGTATAAGGTAAAAATTTAATTTTGTTTCATTTCTATTTGAATTGCTACATCTTTATAGCATTTTAATATTACAACTCTTATAAGTTAATTATAAGATTTTTTTCTTCTTCAGGTTAATGCATTAACTCATATTGTAGATGTTGATGTTTTTGAAGCTGAGACACAATATAATTTAGTTTTCCTAATACTTCATATTATCATGTTTTCAATTGTTTATCATTGTCATTTTATTCGTATATTCAAATATTTTTCTTCATGCTGCGTTGAGTTCAATTAATTTTCACAATTTTATATATATTAATTATTAAAATAAAATTTATTACTATAATAATTTATTTTCCGATATATATATATATATATTTATATTTATAGATTTAGTCTAATCTTTTTAAAAGTTTGATTTGACCTATTAGTTGGTTTAAAAATATTTTACATTAATTAGTTAATTAATAAATTTTAGTTTAAATAAGTCAACAAATCTATTTTAAAATATATGTGTTTTTTTTTAATTTGAGTAATAAAAAAATGATTTACTCCATTATTATTGAAATTTAAATTTAAAAAAATAAAAGAATTAACGTAAAATGGATAACTCATACATACATACTTATGTACGATCAGGGAGTCTTATCCAAAAGAAATACTTTCTGAATGTCTCATATATCTCATTTAAAATATTTTAAATAGTCAAATATGAAAATAAAGGAAAAGAGCATGCAAATATGCGACTAAAAGAGTTTTTATTTTATATTTTTTAATTTCATACAAACAAATATTATATAACGTTTAAGTATAATTGAAATGATAAAAATATGGATAATATTTTTTTATATTACAAATTTATTTATTTAATTATATTCGTAATAATGTAATATGTATATTATTTTTATTATATTATATAATTAAATAGAATGACCTTTTAAACCTAATTAACAGATTTTTCAAATCAAATATTTTAAAAATATAACATTTTTATTAAATAACTCATTTTAAACTTAAACTTTAATTAGACCAAGTCATAATCCTTATCTAACATCTAACCAATTTCCATTCTTATTTGTAACTTACCCAGTTGTGACTTATCATTTTTTTTTACGCATATCATGTGGACAAACATTAGTAATTATTGTTGTAGCAAGAATTTTTTTTTATTTTTTTTATCAAGAACATGAATAGGAGAGACAATAAAGTAATTAGTTAACCTAATGTAGGAAATGAAATATTCACTATTAAAAAAGTGTCATTTTTCTGCGAATTTTCCTACAAAATATTCGCAGAAACTTTTTGTGAATTTTCTTGTAATAATAATTTCACAATTGTTTTTACAAATTTATTTGTGAAAATAATTTATAGATATTTCTTATAAATTTTTTATGAAAAATAATCTACAAGAAATTTTTGTAATTTTTACTACAATTTTAATGATCATAGAATTTTTTTTTCATGGTAAAAATTTGCAAAAAATATTGTAAGAATTTTATTTTATTTCTAGCAGATTTTCTTGTAAAAATAAATTGGCAAGTAATGTTTACTAAGTGGTAGAAAAATTTCGCAGGTAACATTTCCTGCAGATTTTCCTGCCAATTTTAATCCTCAAGAAAAATCAATTTTTTTTTAAATTTATAAGTTTAAATATGATAAATTAATGATAATGTGTTTTAATTTAATGATAATTTATAAAATTTTAATTAAAAGTATTTACTTAATAAAATATTATATTACTAAATTATTTATAAATATTTCATAAAATTAATTTTAATTTAAAATATTAAATTAAATATTTATTTTAATTAAATGTATAAATTGATGATGATGAGTTTTAATTTAATGATAGTTTTAAAAATAAAATTATTTAATAAAAGACTAATTTTTTTAGAATGTTAAATATTTTAAGAGTTAAAATAATTTATAATAATATAATTTTTTTTGTTCAATATAATGAATCAATAATTTTTTTAAAGACATGATCTAATTAATATTTTAAAAAAATTTCAAGTCTCACCTCGATTGAAAATAAAATAATTAAAGAGTATATAAGTTGGGGGCAATACTTATCTTAAAAGTTGATTTGTATGCTTGAGTGTTAAACTTATAATCTACAATCTTAAAGTTTAAAAGATTATGTATTACATGTTGGAGGTGTGGAAACAAATGCTTCGGATGATTTGTAGTAATTTATTTAATTTTTTCGTAAAAAATATTCTTGCAAAATTTCTTGCGAAAAAATTCGCAGGAAAGTTTCTTGCGAATCTTTTTTGCAAGAAACTTTCCTACGAATTTTTTTCGCAAGAAATTTTGCAGGAAAATTTCTTGCAAATTTTAAAATTCGCAAAAACATATTATCCACGAAGGTATTATAAAATTTCGCAAAAAAAATCTATAAAAATAATGTTTGCTGCGAATTTTAATACAAAATTCACATGAAAAGTTGCATGTAATAAAATAAAATTTTAGTAGTGATCTACTATCATCATACCCAAATTTCAAAAACTGATTAATTCCAATTGAGTCTGAACTCGATGATTTCGATGAGGTGGTAACATTAATAATCACCCAACTTTAGACAAACGTAACATTCATGTTTTAGCTTCGTGTATGTCTAATTGAAGAATCACCCTACTTTAGGTGCTATTTATAAAAAAAAACTGACATCATTTTCAAATGAGAGTAGAGGCACCTAAACAATATGTATATTTAATTGTGTACTATACATAGTGAAAGATCATCAGAACCACTAATGTTCATGAACTTACCCTATATAAAAACTTCAATTAGGCCACATGAATACCAAACAAGTAAAACAGCACTTATCAAGTTATCATCTTCTACTTGCAGCCAATAACATGATCTTAGAGAATCATAGAGTTCTACTAGTCATTTTGGGGTTTCTGGTTGTCTGCAAGAGCCAGGCCAACGTTCATTATTATGATTTCGTTGTATGCCTTCAAAATTTTCATCACATCGAGTTCTAGTGATATAATATTATCCTTGCCATCATAAAGGAAGGAGATAATATTTATTTGTAACCCATAAGACATTGTCTTACTTTTCTTATATAATTAATACATCACATAACATTATTGTCATTTCTATACTAATTACAATGATAACTAATTAAAGTTGTTGTTACCCCTCTCCCCATTACTAAAGTGGCTTTAGAAGAAGAAATGAATGATAATTGAGTATGATATTTTTCATTGTGGGTGATTGTTGCATGCAGCTGAAGGAAAAGAATTTCACAAAGTTGTGCAGCACGAAAAGCATACTGACTGTAAATGATAGTTTTCCAGGGCCAACCATTCGTGTTCAGAAAGGAGATACAGCTTTCGTTACTGTCCACAATCAAGGAAGATATGGGGTCACTATTCACTGGTTACTTCTCCCTCTCTGTCTCTCTTTTCTATCATTTGGCTTCCTCCCTCTATTTGTGTATGTGCCAAAGTCAATGGATTGAGTCTAATGGGCCAACTTGTCAAACCTATCTTTTATTTTTGCATAAAGTTGAGATTTTTA